AGCTCCTGCGGGAGCGGGAACTGCTGCGGCAGTGTAAAATACAGACAAAGGCTCCTACGGGAGCAGGAACTGCTGCGGCAGTGGGGAAATATGGAAAAGCTCCTGCGGGAGCGGGCACTGCTGCGGCAGTGGCGAAATATGGAAAAGCTCCTGCGGGAGCGGGGACTGCTGCGGCAGTGGGTGAAATATGGAAAAGCTCATGCGGGAGCGGGCACTGCTGCGGCAGTGTGGTAATTTAGGTAAGGCTCCTGCGGGAGCGGGAACTGCTGCGGCAGTGGGGAAACATGAAAAAGCTCCTGCGGGAGCGGGAACTGCTGCAGCTGTGGGGAAATACAGAAAAGGCTCCTGCGGGAGCGGGCACTGCTCCTGTGGGGGAATATGGGAAAGGCTCCTGCGGGAGCGGGCACTGCTGAAGCAGTGTGGGAATTAGGTAAGGCTCCTGCGGGAGAGGGAACTGCTGCGGCTGTGAGGAAATACAGAAAAGGCTCTTGCGGGAGCGGGAACTGCTGCGGCAGTGGGGAAATACAGAAAAGGCTCCTGCGGGAGCGACAGACAAAGGCTCCTGCGGGAGCGGGAACTGCTGCAGCAGTGGGGAAATATGGAAAAGCTCCTGCGGGAGCAGGCACTGCTGCTGCAGTGAGGAAATATGGAAAATCTCCTGCGGGAGCAGGCACTGCTGTGGCAGTGTGGGAATTAGGTAAGGCTTCTGCCGGAGCTGCAGTGGCAGTGGGGAAATATGAAAAAAAGCTCCTGCGGGCACTGCTGCGTCAGTGTGGTAATTTAGATAAGGCTCCTGCGGTAGCGGCAACTGCTGCGGCAGTGGGGAAATATGGAAAAGCTCCTGTGGGAGCGGGAACTGCTGCAGCAGTGTGGGAATTAGGTAAGGCTCCTGCGGGAGCGGGAACTGCTGCGACAGTGGGGAAAATACAGAAAAGGCTCCTGCGGGAGCGGGCGCTGCTGCGGCAGTGGGGAAATATGGGAAAGGCTCATGCGGGAGCGGGAACTGCTGTGGCAGTGGGGAAACATGGATGAGCTCCTGCGGGAGCAGGGACAGTGGGGAAATATGGAAAAGCTCCTGCCGGATCGGGGACTGCTGCGGCAGTGTGGGAATTAGGTAAGGCTCCTGCGGAAGCGGGGTGCTGTGGGGATGGGCCATTATAGATGGATTAGGTGATGTTAAAGGGGGTTAGCTATGGTGGGTCAGGAGTTAGAGTGAACAGGGATGGACTGGCGTTAAAGGGGTCGGCTGATGAGGATTCGGTGAGCTTCTTTGATATGGAAGCGGTCTGACCGCACGTAGGTCTTGAAGGCCTCTGGCTTCTGAAGGCTTCT